TTCCCAGCTTTCGTAGTTTCTTTCAAGGACACAGCTAATGTTCATGGTAAGCACAATGTTAGCTTCGTGGTACTGTCAATTGTTGTTCTGCTGGCCAGGTCTGCTTTTGGTGTTGAATTGGTGGCTGACGCCATTGTTTCCCAGGGTCGAACAGAGGCGCACCCGTGAGTTCCTCGATGAGACCCAGATCGCCATGGATGAGCTTTCCCTCTCTGATGAGTGTTCTGTCAGGGATGTTGGATCCGCGCATCATGTCCATGGTTTCCAAGAGCTTTGCGGACTTTCAGGTTAGGGGCAGTCTTATGGAAATTCGGTCTTAGTTCGAGCACTTGCCGCATTTTTTTAACTTTAGTAAGTACTTATTACTGATCTGCAATCTGGTTTCCCCTTTTTCCATTCTCTGCAGCGTCATAGAATTACCAGAGAGCAAATGATAAGAAGAACAAGGCAGCTTGTTGGGGATGACCTGTTGTCCTCAGTGATCAAAACTCACCAGAAGGTATGTTCTCAACTCAACTCTGAAACAGTACTTTGCACTTAGATCATAAGCCAAAGAGCATTACTGTTCATGTCTTCACTTGAGGACACTTTCCCGTTCTAGGCATGAAAGGTGATTGACATATTAGCTTGTTCTGGCATCAATAGCGTCGAATACTCTGATGAAATGAGATGGTTTCTGACTAGGTTTATCTTTGTATTTAGATTTTAGATCAGATGCGCATTTGGCCATTAGAGAACTGAGTTGTGACTGGAGAGAGGTATATTCCGTGGTAGTGAAGTATAGAAGAAAGAATAGGAATAAAGGCAGAGTGTGAAAGGTTTGTGCTCAGCGTAGAGGAGCAGCAGCCATCTAATCTAACTAACCAGGGACTTCTTCGTGTTTAAGATTGCTTGCCCTGGTTGCCTTTCCAGTGGAAAAGCAGTAGAGCATCGAATCCCACCATTGACATTTTTATTAGTGTTAATTAAGAACTTGATTCACCTTTCCCATCTGGCAAAAGCTGAAGCAAATGATGTGGTAGTCAAAAGCTGAGGAACAAATCATGATGGGTGACTCATGTCTTCTCTTTTTTTGGGTTTGTCCTGCAGGAGCTGACGAGGGGTCTGGCGCGGCGGGCATGAATGGGGATGAAGGATGGACCAACAATAAAGCCTATGACTTAATTGTGAAGTGATCATCAGAAAGCAAAAAAATGGGAAGCAGTCAGCTTAGCAATTTGTTATTAGGGATTGGGCGGAAAAGAAAGGCTTGTACTTTTTAGATTAGATTGTAATCGAACACTTAACCAGAAAGAAAAGTACTATTGAAAGTTGTTTTGTTAGTCATAGTTAATAGGCCGAGACTTGACTGTGCTGGAGAAACCTTGCTCACACCCAAATATCGAATAGAAAGGAAGTAAAAACCCACGCCACGCCACGTTTGGAGACTTGTCACTGTGGCCTTATCCAGAGCTGCTTTTCTTCTCCGGTTTTATCCAATGGCAAACGGATAGGAGGTCCAATTTTTCAGAGAACTTGAAAATGAAGGGTACCGAGTACCGACATATGATGCATAGAGATGATCGTGGTCGGTTTGATTTGAATAGAGAGGGCTATGGTACGTGTCGACTACTAGAATTCATCCAATTTTTTGTTCCCTTCTTTTCTTTTGGTTAGGGATAGTTTGGCCTTAAGTTCGGCATAAGTGATAGTTTTGATCCGAACTTTTGAATATTACAGTTATGGCCTACATTTTCATATAAATAGACGAATTTGGTCTGCTATTTGAATTCATCGACAAAACTAAACGGTCAATTATTTTCCCCGTTATTGAGTCGGCAAGCTGTGATGACTAGGCTCGTCATGACACATTTTTTTTCTTAAACAAAAGAAAACTAGAATAAAAAAAATAGTATAACATCTATAAATTAATAAATTGGGATCGTGAAAATTATTAATATATAGTAGTTATTAATTAATCAATAAATTTTCAAACATTTCAAGTTCATACGATATGATTAATGGTATGGGTTATCGTAACAAGATGGATGTAAGCAATTGTTGGAGTATCTAGGTGAAAATGATGAATGTATCGCGGGACAAACGTTAGAACTTAGAAGAAAATGTGATTGATGTCATTGGGGGTTCAATTGTTGATGAAGGAGATGACGATTCAACATCTTTGGAACCGATCACGCGAAAAGAAGCACTTAAATCCGCATCGACTCTTCAAAAATACTTGATGCAATTAGAGAAGACAATACCGAAGACTTGGAGTGCAATGAAGAAAGTTCAAGATGAACTTTTATAACACTTCAACTTCAAGAATAAACAAACAACTATATATTCATATTTTTCTAGATTACCTTACTTATATTATAAATCTATAGATGAATTGTATTGTTACCATTCTTAATTTATAGAGTTAAAAATACATGTATTTATGTTGGTTGGTTCTCAAAAATTAATATCTTATTATTTTATTAAATTTGCTCATTTTTTACACTGACCCAAGTCGAGACCGGAGAAATTATTAATTTATAGGTTATTAATTTATCGATTATTAATTTAAAGAGGTTACACTGTAGATTGATAGGGTCACGAGTAATACTATCTCCTCCCCTTCTCGTTCGTTCATTCCGCCATTGATCTCCTCAGTCCTCCCCATCTGCTCTCGACCGAGACCTAGGTGAGCGTGTGCCTGGCGACTCTTCCACCGACGCCTCCTTCCGTTTGTTTTGCCTTCGTCGCTTGTCTTCTTCAACAACCTCACTTAGTCGGCCGCGCCTCGCCGCGCTTCGTCCTTTGATAACACCAAAACTGGTGTTATTTGCCTTTCATATTTAGGTTTCTTTCATGTTAATTCGTGTGCATAATCAGAAGAATATCATCGATTGCATCCCTATTTTGTTCATGTTTGATTATGTCGTGATTTTAGAGTGCTTTAGACGATACATGTGAATTAGGTATGAAAAAGGACACAAGTGTGGTGAAATGGGTAGGAAGCTAAAGATCACAGTCTGGACATGGAAGATATCGGCTGAGACATAAGATCGCGAAGAAGATCGTGCCTGAGAACCATAGTTCGCGACCGCGAACTTGGAGCCCTTAGGTGTGAAATTCGTGAGGAAGCCACCCAAGAGAGAACATAAACTTTTGATGGTCGGATCACGGTCACCATTTTCCCTGACCGCGAGGAAGTTCGCTGTCTCGACTCACTGATCGCGACCATGAAAACAACCCGCAAACTCCCAGAAGGTGAAGACCAAAACGCCGACGCCTGAAGATTGCGATCTAGAAGGAAAAGATCCCGACCGCGATCTCCCTCTGCTCGGCCGTGAACTTGTCCGTCCCCCTAAAGTCAATAAATAGAGAACCTCTTCCCCCATTTTAAGAGAGTTGATTTTGAGATAGAAATTTATGATTTAGATAGAGAGAGAGAGAGAGAGAGAGAGAGAGAAAGAGAGAGAGAGAAGCTGAAGGAAGGAGAAGGAGGAGAAGCTAGATGAGAGGAGCAATGTTCTTCAACATCAAGCCTTCCCCAAATTCTTCTATGTATCTTCTTCCCTCCTTTTTGGAGTAGTCTCTTAAGGTACTAAGGGTTCTAAACCCCAAACCCTAGTTTTAGGGATATTATGTAATGAATGAATATGTTAGGGTTTTGAATGAATGTGTTTGTCTAATTGATTTTAATGCTTCATCTACTTTGATTGTGCTTGGGTAAGTCGCCCTAATCTTCTCTACTAGCCTACTTGAGCTTCTAAGCTTGGTATGGAGTTTTAGTGTTAGAAGGGTATGCTCCATCTGGGCAGATTAGGGTTAGATGAATGAATAGGATCTTGTGGTGGACGAGGCGATCGTACCCCTGCCACAAGAACGCCTAATATAGATGGAACCCGAGATGAAATCTCGGTGTGGAGGGTGGATAGTACCCATTGAAATGAGCTCAGTTCTTAAGGCCATAGATATGTGAGCCTATACTGAGGTGTCAATGGGGTAGGTAGGGCATATTCGGAGGCGTGTGGATAATCACAAAAGCCCACGGAAAAGAGCTCACTCACCACATTCGCTTAACCCAAAATGCTTAGACATTTGCATGATAGACCTAGGCTAGAGCGAGGGTTAGTTCCCCGATGTACCTGCTTTTATCCTTGTTAATTCTCTCTACTAGTTATTTCACTTGAATCCTCCAACACAACCCCTTAAACCGATCGGCTAGATAACAACAACGTGGGAAGTAGGCTAATGTACCGGGCCTTGAGTGAATACGACTTTAATTGCCACTATATGGCAACACCATTATAATTTAAACTTAGCCTAGAATGGGGTAGTTATTCATACATACAAACTATTGATAATGACCTACACAGAATGAAACGATCAAGCTTTTTGGCACCATTTCCAGGGAACCTCGGTAACTAGTAGAAAATCACCGAGTTGTTAGTTTAGCCTTTATTTACTTTGCTCGCATTTATATCATTTTAGTAGTTTTATTGTTTTGTGTTTTGTTATCCAACTTTGTACGTCATGGGTTGTAGAGTTTTTGTATGTTTATAGACTATACATCATGGATCGAAACGAGTTGGAATGCATCGTGAAAGGGATTATTGATACACTTTGCCAACAACCTCAATTCCAGGGAGGGAATGACGAAAGTGCTCTTGATCATATGTCATACTTCTTAAGCTTCCTACAATGATGGTGAAGGAAAATATTTTTTAGGAAAATATTTATTATAATTTTTATGGATAAAAAAAATTAAAATCTACACATCCAATGATGTGAAAGCCATGTTCCAAAAAGTAAAAAACATGGTTGATTTTCGTTTAGTTGTCCATTATATTTAACGGTCAACAAAATATTGGGGAATATTATTGATCATTTCATAAGGTTGAAATACAAATGACACATCAAGAACGTAGAGTTACAAGTGACACAAACGTTAAACTACGAGTACCCTTCTTCTATCAAGCCTTTTAATTTCTGTGCAAGCAGATTAATGGGCCTTAGGGCAGAGCCCAACAATACAAGGCCATCCAGAACAAATTCGGAATCCGCATTCTGCATAAACTTTGTTTACACTCTATAGTACTCTCCCCTCGCAAAATCTCGGTCCAACGATCTGCAAATAATGGATCTTCTCCAAGCTTCCTACAATGATGGTGAAGGAATGGAAGAGCGCGCCGACGGCGGCAGTGGCGGCGGGGAGCTCGAAAACCCTAGCTCTTCCCCGGACTCTTCTCCGCCGCGTCTCCTACCTGCGAAATCCGCCGCTCCGAGGGTCGACGACACCACGCTTGCCCTAACCGTGGCGCAGAACAATCTAACCAAGTCAAGGCCGATCGACCCAAACCAACACCTCGTCGCTTTCAACCCTACCTACGACCAGCTCTGGACTCCCATCTACGGCCCGGCTCATCCATACGCCAAGGACGGGCTCGCGCAAGGGAATCGGAATCACAAGCTAGGGTTTGTGGAAGACGCCAACATCGATTCTTTTGTATTCGACGAACAGATCTACACTTTTCAGAAGTATGGGTTCGCGGCGGATCCCTCAGGAACTGAAATCGTCGGGGATTTGAATGCTCTGTCGAAGAATGGTGGCAATACGGTGTTTAGTGCCCCGCAGCAGGAGCAGAAGAGGCGCAGGATCGAGGCGAAGAAAGAGGATGAAGACGAGGATCTGGAGAACGTGGATAAGGAAGAGGTTGAGAATCCGGCGACGGATACCTGGTTGTTGAAGAACAAGAAGAGCCCATGGGCAGGAAAGAAGGAAGGATTGCAAGGGGAGTTGACGGAGGAGCAGAAGAAGTACGCCGAGGAGCACGCTAAGAAGAAGGAAGAGAAGGGCGCTAGTCAGGATAAGGGCGAGGCTGTTGTTGAGAAAACAACGTTCCATGGGAAGGAAGAGAAGGATTATCAAGGGAGGTCGTGGATTGCCCCGCCCAAGGACGCTAAAGCTACGAATGATCATTGTTACATACCCAAGCGGCTGGTGCATACTTGGAGTGGGCACACGAAGGGTGTTTCCGCCATCAGATTCTTCCCCAAGTCCGGGCATTTGATTCTTTCGGCCGGGATGGACACGAAGGTGAAGATCTGGGATGTGTTCAATTCGGGTAAGTGTATGAGAACTTACATGGGTCATTCTAAGGCAGTTAGAGATATATGTTTCACGAATGATGGGACTAAGTTCTTGTCCGCTGGGTATGATAAGAACATTAAGTATTGGGATACTGAGACCGGTCAGGTTATTTCAACCTTTTCAACCGGGAAGGTCCCTTATGTCGTTAAGTTGAATCCTGATGAAGATAAGCAGAACATATTGTTGGCCGGGATGAGCGATAAGAAGATAGTGCAGTGGGATATGAATAGTGGCCAGATTACTCAGGAGTATGATCAACATTTGGGGGCAGTGAACACCATCACTTTTGTGGATAACAACAGGAGATTCGTCACTTCAAGTGACGACAAATCGCTTCGTGTTTGGGAGTTCGGGATACCCGTTGTGATTAAGTATATCAGCGAGCCTCACATGCATTCCATGCCCTCGATATCTGTTCATCCCAATTCGAATTGGCTAGCAGCACAGAGTTTGGATAACCAGATCCTTATTTACAGCACCAGGGAAAGGTTTCAGTTGAATAAGAAGAAGAGGTTTGCAGGACACATTGTATCTGGATATGCCTGCCAGGTCAACTTCTCTCCCGATGGGCGGTTCGTCATGTCTGGAGATGGTGAGGGTAGGTGCTGGTTCTGGGACTGGAAGAGCTGCAAAGTTTTCAGGACCTTAAAGTGTCATGAACAAGTGTGTATTGGGGTTGAATGGCATCCATTGGAGCAAAGTAAAGTGGCTACCTGCAGTTGGGATGGCCTGATTAAGTATTGGTAAGTTTTTCTATTACTTCCTCTGAATTTATAATTTCCCTGCTGGCAGATATTCAGGCATCATTACTCTTTTACTTAGGGGTGTGGCTATACGGTCCGGTTAAATTGGCCCAAATTGATCCGGTCCAGTCCGGTCTTTTTGAAAATATAAGGACCAAAGATTGGATTGGATATAGTCCGGTCTTGATCCGGTTCGGTCTTGACCTGGTCCGGTCCCAACTCGGTCTTGATTTTATATTGAGTTTGTGGGGATTTGAGTGGCCTAAGTCCTGAAAGGGTGAGGAGTTGGTTTTGTTTTGTACTAAGTGCAAAGGTTTGTGACCGTTTATGCAAATTACCCTTAAGTTTTGGGTGTTGAGCTCTCTTATCCGGTCTTTATCCAGTTTTTTATCCGGTCTCGAACGGTTTTTTACCTCAAATCTAAGCCCAAAGATTGGATTGGATTATTTACTATCCGGTCCCGGTCCGGTCTCGGTCCGGGTTATACGGTCCGGTTTCGGGTAAAACCAAAAGACCCGGACCAAATAGCCAGCCCCCTACTTTTACTTTCCATTATCCAATCGCACATAGGCATTCTGCTGTGGATAGGGTAGAAACAAATGATGCCTGTGAAACCTATGTGGGATATTCAATTGGGCTTTTCCATTATGTGCCATGTTTCCCATTTACCGAACTAGAATGGTAGTTAGTATACAAATCCTTGATTGGAGGACTATTTGTGTTCATCATGGTACTTGTTGAACGCCTAACCTAACTTTTCATATCTATGTCTCTACAGGGACTAGTTCTGACCATGGCCGTATTTGCATATGGAAAGAGGAGATCACACTGGAAACAGGACCGCCATATGCATCAATCACTGCAGGTGCATTTACAGACTTCCAATTGTATGACATGGGGAACGTGGAAAGGTGATGAACTGAGTTGTGGATGAGATGGATCTTTCACCTTCCTGCTATTTAGTTCCCAACTGAAGTGATTAGAAACGTCTGTACACCGATGAAGTTAAGATGTATAAACAAGTTTCGAAGGTGTTTTTGCCCCGAGGGTTTCTCACCCAGTTCTCCCTTGTATTGTATTCTAACTTCTTGTGCTTTTATCATGATCCTTGGATTATGCTCACTGTTTCCTTCCTTGGCCCTTCTAGATCCGAGAGGTGATCCCCACTTTGCTACTTGGTCGATTTTTTTTTTTTTAATAATTACTTTGTCGATGTTGGAGTTGAACATAGCATATGTCCGATGAGTCTGCCCGGATACCATCATTTCATATTAGCAGTAGACTTGTCAATTGTCATCGTTAAGTGAGTTCGACAGAAGTAAGTACGTTTTGATACAAATTCTCAAGGGATGGTTTGGATTAGGGTTTTTCATAATCAATCATAAGGGACCCAAATCCCTTGTCATTTCAAATTGCGATCAATTTTATCTTCTGAGAAGGGAAGAAAAAACGAGTGATTTGATAAGGGATTTTACCCAATCATATCGACGACGCTTCTTAAACGAGTAATTGTGGCGAAATTTGATACGATGAGTTATTTGAGATCTTTCTTGCAAAAAACTTCATCGAAAAGTCCCTAAAGCAATGTGTTTGTTGTATTAAATCAGTAAAACATCTATAGCTCAAAAAACGACTGATGATGGAAATTTTTAAAGCTACCGTTTATAAATGAATTTTCTTAATAAGATAAATACCATTAACACAATGGGAAAGGTTGAACCACTATGACCCCTAAGATTGTGAAGGGTAATTTTGCTTTGACCTGTTTTATCTGACCTATTTTTGGTGGGTAACCATTCGGGTAATTAGCATAAATGGTCACAAACCTTTGTACTTAGTACAAAATAGTCACAAACCTTTAATTTGTAACCATTTGATAACAAAACTTTTTACTTAGAACAAAACGGTCACAAATTAAACAGTGTGACCATTTCATACCAGTTCAAACTTTTGTTACCGTGTCGTTGCAAATTAGACTTTTGGTGACCGTTTTGTACAAATTAAGTTCAAAAGTTTGAACGCTCAATCACCGTTACAATTCGCTCTAGTTGTATGGTGGTTTTGTTAATGTATGTGAATGATATGATCGTCATAAAGGATGACAATGAGAGAATTCAATGGCTCACAAACGGGTTTCAAACTGCTTTTTAGTTGAAAAAACTATGTCTACTTTCTTGGTATCGAAATTTGTTTTTGATAGATTGGTATCGAAATTGAAAGGTCAACTGAGGGCATTCTTATTTGGCAAAGCAAATATGTCGATGAACACATGAGCTGACATCTTATATGTTGTTCAAGTGGTTAGTGTCATATACTTAACGAACAAACTACCCAACCTCAAAACATGACAAACATTTAATTTGTAACGATTCGGTAACAAACCTTTTCATTTAAAATAAAACGGTCACAAATTAAATAGCGGTGACCATTTTATACAATTTCAAAGTTTTGTTACCATATTGTTACAAATTAAAGATTTGTGACCGTTTTGTACTAAGTGCAAAGGTTTGTTACCATTTATGCTAATTACCCGTAACCATTCATAAGTGGGCAAGACAAGTATGAGTATTCTAACTAAAATATGATGTAATAAAAGTAATTTGATGTACACCGATGAAGTTAAATGGTATGAAACGGTTGAATCATGATTAAACCACGATTTCAAAATAAAATATCCTCCCGTTGAATTTTTTGAAACGGTATAATATTTCAATCCTTAAAAAAAATTGCTAAAAAAGTTATAATTTAATACTAGTCACGGGCCCGGCCGGTTGGCCGGATTCATTCACCATATACGATATGTTGTTCTCTCGATGTTGATACCTTGCAACACCATATCCATCAATAGGTGTTTGGCTGCATAAATCATTCGGAAAATGTTTAGAGCATATACCATTAGTTGTACAACGGAGCTTTAGGTCCTTGAATGCCACATGCCACATGGACCATGAAACATAAATTTTGCAACTGCATCATAACATTTAGGCTCTTCGAGAGTACTATCTCACTGATGGCTCGGACCTCCCCAAAAGCGGGTCTTCTCCACCTTCCAACTAAGTTGCGGAAGAAAAGCCCAAACCCAAGGATCTGCTTTAGGATCTGGGATTTCGGCAGATAAAACTAAATCTATTTATGAAGGATTATATAATTTATCTTCTCCAGTAAGGAGAAGTAATAAATGAGCATGGGATAGACCACGTTTTTTCATCTGTAATGAAAAAATTATCATAATAATTAAAATTGTTAAGATTAGTTAGCGAGCAAATAACGAACTATGGATGCTTAAAGTAAAACTACTGAATATAACTTACATGCATATGTTTTTCCAAAAAATTTATTCTCCAAAATCTCATTCCGCAAGTGATGTAGCTTCAGTCTGAAAACTCGTGCGAGGACGTCAGCTCTATTAGGAACTTTCCTAGAAGTAGTCCTTATCAAATCAAACATGAACTGAATCTCAGGCCAAACAGGATTACATGTAAATGTAATGAAAAGATATGGATATCCTACCCATCTACAAATCGCCATAGCATCCTGGAAGCTTTCATACTTATAGCGTGGACTACTTGTATGTGATGAAGCTAAAATCACCTGTTTTCCACTCAACCTGGGGTCCGAATCACCTTTCAACTAAGAATCCAAAATACCTTGGTAGTAATGTTGTCGCAACTTTGTTTGGTTGTTTTAACCCAGTCCCAACGCCGAACCTCAACCAATGCATATGCATTAACAGCATATTGTCGGAACAACTTTCCCCACAATAGCAATGAGTTCAATGCTTCCATTCTAGTTTGGAGTCTATAGCTGTAAAAATCACATGGGGTCACAATTTTCTCATTGTATCCCTCTGAATCCTCATCCTCACCCCCGGAGTATGGAATATTTGAGTGTCAACCATCCTCGCCATGTGGGAATAATATGGGATACTGGAAAGCCATTAAACTTGAGTGATATATAGTGATTTGTTCCAGTTCATGACTTTGATACTGGACAACAATATCAGGAGAAAATGTTTGTTCTCAAGTATCATCATCTATTAAAGCAGCGACCTCATTTGCTGATGGCAAATCATATTCTCTACCGTCCCCTTCTATTTTAGCAAGCAACTTTACTTTGACTTGTTCAACAATGGTGTTATTCAGTGTATCCCTTGCAGACCGAAATGTCTTCACTAAGATATCACTTGAATCTAACATCTCCCGCAATTGTTGAATAATTGAATCGTGCAAAAGATTTGCATATGGATATGTAAAGAAAAAATCTATCCTTTTTTGGAGTTCATTGCCACTGTCATAGATGTAGAGTTGAGCAAACTTTGGTCTATTCCTTTCAGTAGGTATCAGGATTCCGACTCGATGATATACTTGACGTCCAATTGAATAGACATATACTCCGCGTCCATAATTTTTAGATCGATCCAGTTTAGCTCCAATAGAAGACAATGTGAAGACCCCGTTATATCCTCATATATGATCCAAAAAGTGACGTCCGGTTGAAGTATTTGCTTGCAATAGCATATTTAAAACTTATGGAGACTATCTTCGAGGAGGGATCTTCCCTTTACCTTGTCTGTAACACAATGAAAACTTTGGTTGATTTGAATTCCTTGTGGGTTTGGTACTTTTTCCCTTCTACATCATTGCTTCATAATATTCATATTTATATGATGGTTTCCCAATATCAAACACTTCATACACTGCAATGAAATGAAACTCCAATATAAGAAAGAAATTTGGTCACAAACTCGAGGAAAAATGAAATATTGAAAATATCAATAAACATGAAAAGTCTTCAGAACGCATCACACGAAGACGAATAATACGATTTTCGGCAAGTATGATGGACCTCAACAATCTATTCCTCTTATTTTGTAGTTATCCATCTAAGTTCACAGTCCTGTATAGGAATTAGTAAAATAAGCAATCCTAGCCGCTAACACATAATCTGATAACATATAAATAGAAAACAAACATTACCAGTAGGAATGTTGACAATTTTTCCATGTATACGCTTTTGTCTTATACAAAGAGCATGTTTCCTTCTTGCTAATTTGGTTAATGGTTGATTAATTTTCTTCAACTCTGACCTATGTGCATCGATTTCTGAAATGTAAAATGGAGAATGAAAGTTTTGTAAAATCAACATCATGGGGAGATTATAATCAATTTATAATTAATTTGTATTCATACCATGAGAAAAGTTTTCTTGCACCCTTATACAAAGAACATGTTTCCTTCTTGCTAATTTGGTCAATGGTTGATTAATTTTCTTCATCTCTGAACTATGTGCATCGATTTCTAAAATGTAAAATGGAGAATGATAGTTTTGTAAAATCAGCATCGTGGAGTGATTATAATCAATTTATAATTAATCAATATTCATACCATGAGAAAAAATTTCTTGCACGTCAGATAGAGACTAAGTAGAATCGACCACACCTTATGGTGGCATAAAAATAGCTCTCTTTTTCCCTAAATAACATGTGTCATGGGCAAATATTAAATTGCATGATTTATATAATTATGCTAAAATAAATATTTGTGCTTACATTCACTTTTTAAAGGTCAAAGTGAAACATTATTTGGTTGTTTGGAGGACTCTCCACGTGAAATATTTTTTTTGAGACATAGAACTACAAAAGAGGAGCCTTCAGAAAATTATTCGAGCATGGTCCATGAAATAGTATCGTACTGGCGGTTCAACCACAAAATACCAGTATCGGAGGCTAAATCAGTAGGTGGTATTTAATGGTAATAACGGTTTAAACCACGATTTTACCATAAATACCCTACCGCTGACTTTCCTGGTACGATTTCATGGACCATGTATTGGAGCCTTCAAAAAATTATTGTAATAATGGGATGTAGCATATAAATGTTAATGTAATTTCTTGGAACATTAGATTTCACATGCTGTAGACTAAGTTGAGAATATAATTTTAAAAGAAGGCAAGAAAAAAATTATATATATTCATGTTTTGATAACTTGTACTACTGGTTTTGACTGATCTCCTTTATACCAAATAACAATACTATTGATTAACTATGTGAGGCTACATTGGATTACCCACAATTCCATTCATGCAGCTTACCAAAGGCAAAAGAGAAGGAAGCTAACGTACATGTATAAGAAGTCTTCAAAAAATTAGTGTAATAATGGCATGTAGTACATAGTTAGTAAGATATGGTATAAAAAGTTATGTATAAAATATGTACGGTATTTTATTTTGTCTCTAAACTAATGTAACATTAATATTTATAAATATATAAAAATAGTTATTTTAAAAATAAATAAATCCTATAAATACTATATA